TTTTTTTTTTTTTTGAATGCCTGAGTGAATCTCTTGATTTCTAGTGGAATTAAGACTTGAAAATTCCACTAGACTAGTGGAATTTCTAGTATATGTTTTATGTTATAGTTAACCTCTAGCGATTTCTCCTCCTCCGCCAAAAAGGATTAGGTTTCACAGGATGAACAGTTGAAAATTATTGAAAAGATAACTCCTTCATTGGCATGGATTTTAAGTGAAGTGTTGATTTCTCTGAATAATATTTTTGGTTGGGAGACGACGATATTGTCAGTTGAGCCAGAACAAGATAATGATGAATTTTTTGCTGAATTACTGCCTCCAAGGTGTCTCTTAACCAAATATGCTTACATATCTTTTAGGCTCAAGGTACTTGAGATAGCAGCAGACTTGTTAATTAAAGAAGAGATACTGAGTGAAAATGATCATTTGTCAAATCAGGTGGTTATAAATTTGCTGCCATTTATGATCATCAATAATGATGATAGGGAATCTGCTGAGATGAAAATTGCTATCTACTTATCAAAATCAGGAATATGTTCTTTGCACCCTCTATTAAAAGGCTGGAAAGAAGGTAAGAAATTCGGGTATTTTTTTGAAAAGGTGAATACATAACACTTCAAAAAGAAGAGAGGGGCTTGGTGACCATATAGCACAGTGGTTACAGTGCTAGCCACATACACTGAGGGTGGCAGGTTTAAACCTGGCCCAGGCCAGCTAAAGAACAATGACAGTTGCAACAAAAAATAGCCAGGTGTTGTGGCGGGCACCTGTAGTTTCAGCTGCTTGGGAGGCTAAGGCAAGAGAATTGCTTAAGCCCAAGAGTTTGAGGTTGCTGTGAGCTGTGACGCCATGACACTCTACTGAGGGTGACAAAGTGAGATTCTGTCTCAAAAAATAAAAAAAAAAGAGGTACAATTAAAAATTGGCTATATTTGTTACTTAAAATTGTTTATTGTGTTAGATGCCAGCAAGAGAATTTTCACTAAGATAAAAAGTATATAATAGATAGGAAGCTGACTGACAGACATTCAAAATTGAATAAAAAGAAAAATGAGAAGCTAATTTTCATAGAGAAGGAGTAAAAGGTTTCCCTAAATTCCTTATACATATACACGATTCTTTATGTGAGTGTTAGTGGCATAAAGGTGCTCTGTGTTCGATTTTCTTTACAGCTCTTGAAACTATAATTAAAAGCACAAAGTCAAGAAAAATAATTGGTGTAGCAAATCAGAAGATGATTCACTTGTTGGCTGACAACATAATTTCAGGAGATCCTTCTTCAATGTTAAAGATGGTATGTATGCTGTCAGAGTTCACTTCCAATACAAAACACATTAATACCTAAATAGGTCTGAGATAGAAGAAAATGGTTTTATGACAATCAAGAACTGCTGGTAATGGAGTGTGTTTTTTTCCTAAGGTGGAGGATTTAGTAAGCGTTGGTGAGAAGGAGTGCTACAGCCTGAAGCAGAAAGTGACATTTCATGTGATCGTGTCTGCGCTCGTCTCCTGCTGCTCATCTTTAAAAGGAACTCACTTCCCATTTGCTATAAGAATCTTCAGCTTGTTGCAGAAAAAAATAAAGAAGCTGGAAAGTGTCGTGACTACAGTGGTAAGGAGTACAGAAATCTGTATAAAGTAAGATGTTCAGGAAAGAGACCAGCTGGCCTGTGAATCACAGCTAAACTGGAAGTCAGAGGCCGAGATGTTGAGTCTGGATACTAGCTGGAAGAAATGTGAAGCAGCATGGGGTAGCAGGAAGGAACTGAATTAGGGGTGCTCTCTTCTTTGCAGAGAACTTCATCGAGTTATAGAATTTTTTTTTTTT